AGTTACTCCACTTGTAGAGCATGGGGAGGTGAAGAAGGTTTTAGGATAGAGGTCTTAACAAATCACCATCACTCCTGAGGGGAGTGATGTGGGGCTCAAGGATGCAGAAGGCTAGAATGTATTTCCATGCCTGAAATAAAGTTCATGTGACCCTTACCATGGCTGTAGCTCAATCTTACACCCCAAACCTGGGGCTGGCTCAGGAAGGAGAGTCCCAACACCCAGGGGAGGACTTGGACCATACAAATAAGGGCAAGAGGGGCGCCTGGGTAGCTCAGTTGGTTAAGCGACTGCCTTCGGCTCAGGTCGTGATCCTGGAGTCCTGGGATCAAGTCCCCCATCGGGCTCCCTGCTCAGCGGGGGGTCTGCTTCTCCCTCTGACCCTCTTCCCTCTCGTGCTGTCTCTCATTCTCTCTCAAATAAATAAATAAAATCTTTAAAAAAACAAACAAACAAACAAATAAGGGCAAGAGAACGCAGAAGAGACCTTAGGGACAAGAAAGGAAGCTGACCATTTACTAGTGGGACGAAGGATGAGTGTATGTTATGTACACTCATTAAGGGCTATGTACGTTAATGATCAAGCTATTTGAAATAATATAACTGTAGCTAATACCTAAATAGGGTTTAATATGTGCGAGGCACTGTTTAAGTTCATTTGCACACAGGGGCGCCTGGGTGGCTCAGTCGTTAAGCGTCTGCCTTCAGCTCGGGTCATGATCCCAGGGTCCTGGAATCAAGCCCCGTGCTGGGCTCCCTGCTCGGCGGGAAGCCTGCTTCTCCCTCTCCCACTCCCCCTGCTTGTGTTCCCTCTCTCGCTGTCTCTCTCTGCCAAATAAATAAGATTAAAAAAAATAAAAATAAAAAGGGCGCCTGGGTGGCTCAGTTGGTTAAGCGACTGCCTTCGGCTCAGGTCATGATCCTGGAGTCCAGGGATCGAGTCCCACATTGGGCTCCCTGCTCAGCAGGGAGTCTGCTTCTCCCTCTGACCCTCTTCCCTCTCGTGCTGTCTCTCATTCTCTCTCTCTCAAATAAATAAATAAAATCTTTAAAAAAAAAAAAAAGTTCATTTGCACATATTTAAACCTAACTCTTTGTTAGGGTAGGTACTCTCACCTGACAAATGAGAAAACTGATAGAATGGATAAGTAACCTAGCCAATCAGTCTTGCTCCAGAATCTTGACCACTCCCCTATACTTCCTATGTGATACTGTTAACCTAGAAAAATGCAGTTACAAATAGAAGTCCTCATATATAGTACCTGGAGACACCCATTAACAAACGAAGTTTTTGAAGTTTTTTCCAAAATAAAAATGGGCAGAAATGTATATGGAAGGGTGAAATCTAAATTACAGGAAAACATAAACAACAAAAAAAATCAAGTTGCAGGGGCACCTGGGTGGCTCAGTTGGTTAAGCATCGCCTTAAGCTCAGGTCATGATCTTACGATCCTGGGATCAAGCCCTGCATCAGGATCCCTACTCAGCGGGAAGACTGCTTCTCCCTCTCCCTCTGCTTGTGTTCCCTCTCTTGCTGTGTCTCTGTCAAATAAATAAATAAAATCTTTAAAAAAAATAAAAAAGGGCGCCTGGGTGGCTCAGTTGGTTGGGCGGCTGCCTTCGGCTCAGGTCATGATCCTGGAGTCCTGGGATCAAGTCCCACATTGGGCTCCCTGCTCAGCAGGGAGTCTGCTTCTCCCTCTGACCCTCTTCCCTCTCATGCTTTATCTCTCAAATAAATAAATCTTTAAAAAAAATAAATAAAATAAAATCTTTTTAAAAAATCAAGTTGCAGTAGAACTACATGAACAATTATCCCATATTTATTAAGTTCAAAAAGATACAAAACAGTATATATTGTTTAGGGATATATTCAGAGTAAAACTAAGGAAGGTCAGGGAATGGTAACAGCCACAATTCAGCTGGGTAGTTTCCTCTGAGTGGGAGGGATTAAAAGGGAAAGTGAATCAAAGGCAGGTTTGCTTCAGTTACTGGTAATGTTCTAAAGCTGGGTGACAGGTATAGCAGACAGAAAGGAATTTGAATCCAGACTACTTTCTGACCTTAAGCTAATTATCTCACATCCTGAGCTTTCCTTTTCTTGCCCTTAAAGTGAGGTAGATAGTATCAAAGTAGCAAGGTTGAGTTTTAAGGATTCCATGAAGTGAAGCACATGAAAAGCTTAGTGCAGATCTAAGCACCGCTGGCTGGGAAGATAAAACAGGATGATCCTTGAGAGCCACACACAATTACGTGCTTAGGACCTTATATCATAAACTAGTACATTCTTAGTGGTACTAATTCAGAAATCCATGGAGGAAATAGTCCAAGTCTCCTCCTACCCTCACCCCATAGTCTCAATCCCCTCCACAAAAGTAACCTTGACTGGTAACAGACTAGTTCAGTTCTTAGGAACAAGAGCCCAAGTGAGGGATTTTAAGAATCTTAATAAAGTATTACCTACTTTAATCCATGAAGTTTTAGAGAACAAGTCCCTTCTAAACAGGGCTAATCCTAAGGTTTGGGCCAAGGACTGAAGCCCAGGGAACCCTTTACTAGGGAATAGCAATGTGAGCAGCAAACTGGACTCAGTCTTCCAGCGAGTACCATCCAGAGCAATGTCAGGAAGAAAAAAATAAAACTAGCAAAGGTGATTAAGGAAAATACAGGTTGGGAAATATCTTTCCTAATTTAAGATTTATTTAAGAAAGAGCTAGCATGTGCACAGGGGAGGGGCAGAGGGAGAGAACCTGATTCCTTACTCCATCCCACAACCCTAAGGTCACGACCTGAGCTGAAATCAGATGTTCAAGCAACTACACCACCTAGACGCCACAATCTTTGCTAATTTCAAGTGGTGGGGGGGGTGCCTGCATGGTTCGGTTGGTTAAGTGTCTGACTTTGGCTCAGGTCATGATTTTGGGGTCCTGGGATGGAGCCCTACTTAGGGCTCTCTGCTCAGCCAGGAATCTGCTTGTCTCTCACTCTGCCCCTCCCCCAGCTTGTGCTCTTTTCTCAATAAAATCTTTAAAAAAAATTAAAGTGGTGGGGACCAAGCTGGAAATGCTCAGTAGGCAGGGGGCACCTGGGTGGCTCAGTCAGTTGGGCGTCTGCCTTCAGCTTAGGTCTCAGTCTCAGGGTCCTGGGATCACCGTGGGATCAAGCCCTGGCAGGCAGGCACCCTGCTCAGCAGGAAGTCTGCTTCTCTTTCCCTCCTGCCCCCCCTGGGCCCATCTTCACCCACCTTGGGTCGTGCACGAGCAGCCAAATAAATAAATCCCCCCCCCCCCCCCCGGCTCATGCTGTCACTCTTTCAAAATCTTAAAAAAAAAGTTCAGTAGGCAAATATGGAAAAAATGTAATTTTTAAAAGATGACTGAGTAGGTAGGGGCAACTGGCTGACTCAGTTGATAGAGCACGGGACTCCTGATCTCAAGGTTTAAGTTCCAGCCCCACACTGGGGGGTAGAGATTACTTAATAAAGTGGCAAAGATTAAAAAAGACTAAAAAGTAGTAAGTTAATAGCACCAAACTGGTGCCAAAAGTGTTACCACTGGGAGTAGTGATGACAGGTATAGGAAAAAAAAGGCAATCTTTTTTTTTTTTTAAGATTTTATTTATTTATTTGAGAGAGAGAATGAGAGAGAGCACATGAGAGGGGGGAGGATCAGAGGGAGAAGCAGACCCCCTGCTAAGCAAGGAGCCCGATATGGGACTCGATCCCGGGACTCCAGGATCATGACC